TCGTCTTTCACTGCAGAAGGCTGCTTGGTCGACGACTCACTTGCCGCCGCCGCCGGGTATGGATCTGCCGCGGTGAGCCGGTTCTTCCTCTTCTCGAGGAACCTCTTGAGCGACACCTTCCTCGCGAGGGGCATGTCTGTAAGAAACGTGCACGCACGGGACAAATAAATGCTGTCACTCTCAGCTCGCTGTATTGTATGAACGCTAGCTGCATGGGCTTTCTTTTGCTCTGCCCTCTGCAATTATCCGTGTGAACACTGGACTGGACAGTGTAGGTATACGCGTTCCGTTCCTACCTGTGAGGCTGGGCTGTCCCAGCGCGTTCTGGGCGGCGGCGGCGGGCGCGGTGTTGCCGCCGGAGCCGGCGAGCTGCATGAGCTCCTCGGCCTTCTCCGCGGGGAAGTCGTCGAAGACCACCATCTTGCCGCCGTAGAAGATGGTCAGCGGCGCTCTCCCGTCAGCAGGCTCCTTCCTCTTCCTAATTACGGGGACGACGGAGATCCGATCAGAATTTCACACACAACACGTAGTGTGTCTATATGCGCACGGCACGGTGAGGAGAAAGGAAGGTGATACTGGAGGTAACGGAGAATGAACACACCTTTGCTGCTCGTCTTTGAGCGTGCCAGCCTGCTGCGGGAAGAGCTCCAGCACGGTGGTCCTCTCCTCGGTCGCCGCCGCCACCGCAGCGTCGGCTTCCGGCATGAGGCCCATGGCGACGGCCGGCGCGAGGCACCTGGTGGCGCCGCTGCCGCCCTGCTCCTTCATGTACTGCCTCAGCATGCCGCACGTCACCGCGAACCTGCTGCCGGCAGGCCGCTGCTGCTCGGTGGCCATGATGATAGATGCTCCGATCCTCGCTCGCCGGCCGGCTTGATCTCAAGCTACTAGCAAAAGCACACGAATTGAAACGAACAACCAGCTGCTCACATCAAACTCTTGGCAGATAGCCCGAGGTCGTCGGCTGCCCGGGAATGAGAGTTGGTTGGTTGCTTCCCGGAAACGAAACGGAGCTAGACGACGATATGTGGTGTGGTCATGCGGTAGCAGGAGTACTATGTTTGGCCCTGGTTTTATAGCTGCGCACGCAGCTGGAGCGGTGTTGGTTGACACTCGAGAGACAGGCCGGGTAGATAGATAGGCCAGGCCTTTGCTAATTTCGTGGCTTGGGCGGGTGGTGAGGGGAAAGCATTGCAGCACGTGAAAGGCGAGCGGGTGACGCGACGGGATCGGGGTATGGTTCGCTAGCGCTAGCGGAAAGGTCGCGGTTGCCGGGTCGGGGCGCGCGCGAGCGAGGAGAGATGCTGGCACGGCACCGCACGTCTCAGCTCTGCTCCCGGGCGCGCGCCGCGCGGTGGTCTTGGCTGGGCGGGGCGGGGCCGCCGGCTGCCGCTGGCTTCCTTTTTTTTTTTTTGATGCCTGCTTCCTCTGCATTTCTGGGATCATGGCAGGCGAGTGGGGGCGTTGGTTGGCGAACTGGCGGTGGGAGTGGGACTAGGGCTCGAGAGCGGTGGAGCGGACTGGAGGGCGGTGCGCCGTGCGCGTGGTGTGGACCGACCCAGTGTGGGCTGCCGCCGAACAGCCGAGGGGCGGGAAAGAAGGGGGCGCGTGGGGGTTTCTGCTCGGTTTCCGGCTAAATTCCGACGCGCACGGCGCACATGCTGGTTCGGCCGTGGAAGATCGGATTCGGCGCTGGGCTACTTGGCTGGCCGCTAGCCCGCCCGTGCCGGCCCGCTGCTAGTCCTAGTCCAGTCCCTTGTCGTAGCACAGATCGATTTGTGGTTGTGCGGGTACACGCATGCATGTGTTCAACACATGCGAATGCACGCAATAGTAGTAGTACTCACATCGAATGTTCTATATGCATTTGGGTATTAAATATGGTAATTGGGGCTCATAAAATATCGAAGTCTCTGATTTGACAACGTGTTTGCTACAGTAAACATGTGCTAATGATAGACCGATTGACGAAAACTGTTCCATCTAGTAATTGGTTTTATAATAAATTTATATTTAATACTCCTTCTCTCTCTCTAAATTCTCTTTAAAGAACCAAAGCGCGAATTTTCTATGTGTAGGCGGCCTTCGAAATAAGTCTATTTAGTGACCGACTGACGCAAACTGTTCCTTCTAGTAGTCCCTAATCTTTTCTCTCTCTCTCTCTCTCTTTGCGCGAATTTTCTGGCGGCCGCCTAATATTTAGTTAGGGTCCAGCCTATTAATAAACATTATTATTATATGCTTATTAAGGAAGGAACAATATATTCGTGCGTGTATATCGACCGCCCACTATGCGAATGCACGCACGGCGTTCTAAGTTTAGGTAGGCGCTGGAAATAAGTGTATGTGGTTACTTTCATTTTCTTCTACTACTAGTCCCTAATTTTTTTCTCTTTACGAACATTTTCTGGCGGCCTAACATTAGTTCGGGTCGTGCAGCCTATACATTATTATATATTTACCTCCGTTTTCGTTTACTTGTCACCAAATTTTTACTGTAGTAATTTTGATCATACATTTTTTTTCTCGCAAAAGCGCCCACATATGCCATTTTTATTCTTACCGTGATTTATTAAGATTTTTAGAAGAAAAAAAGTGACATTGTTTGAGAACGGAGGAAGTACTTATTAAGGAAACAAATCGAGCGCCCACTATGCCATTTTTTGTTCTTACCGTGATTTGGTTAGAAAGTGACATTGTTTGAGATCGATCATTCAGGAATCAGGACAGGTGACCAAATGAAACTGAAGTTTCTAGTGCAGTACTACAATCGTACTTGTTGAACGCTTTGGCCATACACTCGTTAGAAAAGCTAATCGCGCTTTGCTTCCGACAGCGGCGGCTTTTCAAACCCCATTTCATCGTTGGCATCAAGACAGAACCATACAGAACTGAGAACGAGCCAATGCCATGCATGAGACGTGCAAAGGTGGTGGGGCCAAGATAGTACAACCACTACTGTACTTTTGGCGAAGCAACCGCACGCTGGCAGTCGACACGAAAAAGCCCAATGAATAACGTACGGTCCCTCCGTCCGAAAAAGATACTACTATTCTTTTTATGTTCCAAAATAAAGCTACTATTCATTTTTTTTTCGTGTCACTCCACTGGACAAATATTTACGCCCCGGCACAGCTCACAATCAGCTTCGATTTTTTTTTGGGTGGTTGGAAGGAAGAAACGCTAGAAAAGTGAGACGAGGAAATCAAGACATCCCTCTTTTTGATTCTCTCTTTCTCATCAATCGCCTGTTGATGGAGCTGTTTTGCTAAATAATTTTTACAAAATAGCTCGGCTGGACTGAAAAGTGTATAAAGTTATTATTGAAAAACGTTTTATGCTACAACTGAACCTCGATCAGTAGTACGTTCCCTGGACGACGACGTTCGGTCCAGCTCTCAGCTCTGGGTGGTTGGAAGGAAGAAACGCTAGAATAGTGGACGAGGAAATCAAACACTCCTAGTTTGATTACACAATCAATCGCCCGCGTGCACGCGGCTTGGACTGTAGTGTATAGTGCATTATTGATACGTATGCTACAACAACTCGATCAGTAGTAGATTAGCTAGTAGTATAAGATTACTCGCATACAGTAGGTAATGAACTGAAAAGCAGCATGCACGCGTCCATGGATCCATTATATTATATTGGTTTGGCTCACTTATGTTACTAAGCAAGCATGTATCAGTTAGACAGAATCATTTAGATAAGCAAAACGTCTTGATCGACGCTAATAAACCATGCCACTACACATGATCTCCTACACCTGTTGGTGCCGATCGATCGAGCCGCGTGTCGTTGTTAGCTTTTGCCGCTGCCGCGTTGGTCACCTGCTCTCTAAAACAACTTTACATACGGCAGCCGAGGAGATCGCGCGCGGATCGCCCAACGGAGTCGACGCGGCCGGGAGGCATGGTCCCGCCGAGACGGCGAGACAGCGCGGTTGCGTGTCGCCGTCGCCTGGTCTGTCTTGCTTTGCCGCCTGGCTTTTTGCGCTCCCCGGCCATACGTACGTAGCAAAACGGAGCTACTGGATACACGCAGTCACGACTCACGAACGAACGCACTCGAGGCATGCAGCAACTAGTTGCGGCACGCTTCGTGCTTTTTGTCCGCACCAGAAATCAGAAACGGATTGCCCGGAGTAGGATGGTTAGGCCGTGCTCGGCTGCGGATTAGGCCTCCCGGGCTCCCTGCGATCGAGAGAGCGCACGTTTCTGTGTTCTGGCAAAACCGACTTGCGGTTGCACATCATACATTACGGGACGATGGTATGGGCAGTCAATTGGCAAGCAGAGATAGAAGGGGTGCGATGCGTGCATGCTTTCCACCCGGCGGCCGGCGCCATCCACTTGGCCCCGGTACGGCAATCCGAATTGACAGTTACCCGGCACGACGATACGACACCGCGTCTCGATCGTCCGTCCAGTCCACCCGTACGTCCGATCCGTTCCTTCCTCCAGCTCGATCGCCGCGCCCAGGACCCAGGTAGAAAGAAACAGAAACAGAAATAGAAAGAGAACGAAAGAAACGGACGCGTTGGAGCGAAGCCTATCGTGCGTGCGTGCGTGGTTCTTTCCATGAACGGGAAGGCAGTTGCTCCCGCAGGCGTAAAGGACCTTTTCAAACGCACCGTTTCCCTCCTCTCCCCCACTTGCGGGCGATGGCCACGTTTTCCCTCAGGGTCGGCCAGGAGCGCGGAGCCGGGGCCTCTTGTCCCTCTCGTCTCGCGGTAGCACTAGCACCTCCAGCTCCATCGCGCGCGTGCGTCGACGCCTGCGAACCTCTCGTGTTCTCTTCCTCCCCCCCCTCGTGCTGCACTCGCTATATAGAACCGTTCTCCACAACCACCAGGGTCCATCCATCCATCGACGAGCGAGTCACACGGCTCGTGCGTGCGTGCGTAGCCCAGCTCAGCCTAGGGACATCGATCTCCACCGCCCTTCCTCCGATCCGATCCCTCTCGACCGCGCACCCCGTGAGCACGTCGTCCGTCGTCAATGGCGGCCATGCCCACGGACAGCATGACCCGCCGCTTCGCCGTCGCGTGCGGCGTGCTCAGTCAGTACGTCAGGAACGGCAGCGGTGGCGCGCCCGCGACGATGCCGCCGCCGCCGTTCCTGAAGCAGGCGCCGGCGGCCGGACCCGCCGCCGCGCAGGAGACGATAGTCGCCGCCGCCAGCGCGCCGCAGCAGCTGACCATCTTCTACGGCGGCAGGGTGGTGGTGCTCGACGCCTGCCCGCCCGAGAAGGCGGCCGAGCTGATCCACCTCGCCGCCGCGGCCGCGCAGGGGGGCCCGCAGCCGCCGGAGCAGGCGCTGGTGGACATGCCCATCGCCAGGAAGGCCTCGCTGCGGCGCTTCCTCGCCAAGCGCAAGGACAGGTCCTCCTCCTCCGCCTCCCCGGCGCCCCACGACGACCGCCAGGACGACGAGCCGCCCGCGCCCAAGAAGGGCAAGATGGCGGCGGCGGCGACGCGCGAGGAGCCTTCTTCCTCTTCTTGGCTCGCGCTGGGCAGCCTGTGCTCCATGCACAGCCGTTGAGATCGCCGGCTCGCCGGCGGTACGTATGTACGTGATGAGTTCAAACAAGAGGTCGGGCGCCCCCTCCACCTGGTACCATTATTGGAGGCGTTGTAGCAGCAATTTACCTACGCTTGTGATACCTACCACAACTGCATGCTATGGTACTTAATTATATTATTATTATTATTACTAACAACTGCTAGTATATCTATCGATCAATCAAGCCGGGCGGCTATATTGCATTGCGGCCGGCGCGGCATGCGTGCTCCGTCAGAGAGCGACGACGCGTACTATTCGTTCGTATCCTTCGTTGCTTTGGTGGTGTATCATCTAATCTAACAAGACATGTGAACCTGAACGACAAGAGATGTTCAGTAGTGTGAATCGTTTGTCGCTTTGCTTATCATTTCATTGTATTAATTGCTATATATGTTTGTTTCATATATACTACTCACTACTGTATGTGTGAGAGCTGTTCCACTGTTTGTCTTTATCGGATTACTATTAAACATGTGCTATGAGGTATGGATTTGATTAAAGGAAGTGACCGGTGGATATCGTACGGACTGGATGGGACACAAAATTGAAATTGTGGAGACATGTAGACACCTTTATGTTACTATAGCTATTATATTTTGATATGTTAATCGACAGATATATGATAGCTAAGGGAGTATAAATAAACAATACAATATCAACCTGTCAACCCCAATTGCAATTCTTCCTACCGCCCGCGGCAACGCGCGGGGCATCAGCTAGTTTTGATGATGCTTGTCTTGATTCGGAGGTCTTATACATACATTTCCAAATAAGTGGCATTTTTTTTGACCTGCTTGCCTTTCATTATCAACTGGCCGAAGCCTCAAACATGATCAAATCTTACACACATGCCAGAGGTACATGCCACATCTCCGAACAATGTGTATCTGTGACCTGTCTAGCTAAAATATGAGCAACCTTATTACAAGTTCTACTAATAAAAGAAAGAGAAAAGTCTTGAAAGGCAAGACTAAGCTCATCAATCTCCTTCAGAATAGACCCAAATAAGCGGCGTTAGGATATTATAGTACATGGTACACTTTCTTGTTCAACTTTATATGGCTAACAATTTACTTATCCTAACTTGATAATATTTAACAAAGAGATACTCCCTCAGTTTTTTTACATGTCCTATTAGTTTGGTTCTAAATCAAATATTTGTATCCATGACCATCAATTTTTAAAAAATATATAGGTTAACAACATAAGATTTATGTTTTTTTAGATTCATTATTACTAATATTTTTAGAATATATAGGCACCGTTCGGCTTGCTAAAACTTGGCTGAAAGTGGCTGAAAAACACTGTTCTGGCTGAAATGTTGTGAGAGAAAAATACTGTTCCGGCTGAAAAAAGAAGCCAAACAAGCCGAATATAAGGTAAGCCGAACAGGGCCCGTCCCAAAATAGAAGTCGTTATAGAATACGTGTAGGTCAAACTTTTTCAATTTTAACTAGGTTTGTAGAAAATGCGTGTAACATTTCTATCTCCAAATAAATTTATTATAAAAGGTATATTCAACGATCTATCTAATAATATTAATTATGTATTATAAATATTAATATTTTTTTATATATTTAGTCAAAGTTAAAAGTGTTTGAGTTCTCGGGAAGTGAGAATTACGTCTATTTTGGGATGGGGGAGTAGTTCATATGTTGTGAAACTACATGGATTTTATGAAATTGATGGTCAAAATTAGAAACATTTGACTCGGGATAAAGCTAATACGACATGAAAAAAAAGAGAGAGTAAGTCTATGACAAGTGGGAGTTATTATAGCTGAAAAGGGGACACAAATTCTAAGAAATTGTCCTATGTACGGTCAAAAATATCATTGAAATTTTAGTGTTTTGTGCCAAGACCATAAAAAACCGATATTGGAATCCTAAATTCTGGCTTGTATGCCCTTCTTTCAACTGGAAAAAAAATCTAGACTACTTCTTGACTTCTCACGATATGCATAATCATGAAGGTACAAACGTGTAAACATATCTACACTGATGTTTTTTTTCAACCATCAATGTAAATCTTGGATTTATATATTGACGGTGTGATTTAAAAAAAATCATTAGTATAGATATGTTTACACCGACAATTTTCTTTACCTACCACCAATACAAATAATTCACAATTCTTCCAAAAAAGTTGGATGAAGACAAACCATATATCAAAGTTATAGTACTCGAAGAGATCTGCAACTTTACAGTTGACGACTTGTCCATATAGATATGCCGCTAGTGTAAATCTGTTGGCCTCGGCCTTAAGCCAACCTTACACTAACTGTTCTCAAGCTGATGTGAGTGAAATGTCACCGTGCATTTTCACGGGCCTTTCATAGTAGTTGTTCAAGAAAAGCTAATGGAAATCGAAAACATGGCACCATTGGAAATTGTTTATGTACTAGTGAATATTATCAAAATTAGGACCAAAATTTAAGAAGTTTGATGTTTTCAGTAAGTAAGAACAAATGAAAAAAACCTGACAAATCCTTAATCTTAATTTCTTTTAGGTGAAGGTCGTCTAGGCAGCTTTCTTGTCTTCTCTAATCACTATACAATCGTTAGCCTTCAACTTTCCAGCAACCCAGTACACCAGCAACAAATAGAGTACACTTCGTTAAATAATGTCTTATATATTGTAATTGCAGTATTAAATAATGTCGATGCTACCCTGATGTATTCCTCTGATGAAGTACCCTGTTGGATATATGTTGAGTCAGTAGCGGACCCAGCGTTCGAAGGGAGCCTAGGCAATCCAAAGCCACTCATGAGACCGCGTATGTTTTTTTAGCTTACAACATAGCGCAACATAGTAAATACATCAGCTAATACCCTAGGTCTGCCAGTGTGCTGAGAGACAAACTCAGTATGGTATTAGCCTACAATCATATAAATAAATCTACGAAAAAAGGCTACGGTACAGTGCAGCGCCGTACCACTTGTCGTAGCCGGAGTACGTACAGTACAGCAGTTACCAGACACGCCCTGCCCATGTTCGTTAGTTACCCGTCCCCGATCCAACTTGACGAGATCGGCCAAATCAATTGTGACAAAGACGTGTAACTAAGTGTAACTGATGCAGTTAGTCATCGATGATACTCGTAAGCAAGCACAACACAACGTGTTAAACGTGCATCGCTTTTGGAGTTTCCCATGGAAGCCAGCCAGCCAGCCAGGGTATGTGCGTGCCTGACTTGCGCTGGCAAGGGACTAGGACTAGGAGGCAGTAGAGTTAGAGTCATCTTCAAGCTAAGGACAACTAGCCTGCCCGCCCGCCCGGCACACGCACGAGGCCCGCTCCGCGCACATACTCCGATTCCGTTACGCCAAACTGTTAGGCGTCCCACTCGCACGCAACGCGTGATGCATCAGGGATCGGAGCCTGGCCAGCAAGAAAAATCCTGCCGGCGCGAGCCGCGTCCCGATCGGCCACGCACGCCACATCTCGTCGCCTCGTCGGGCCCACTCACCACGCCGTCACGCGGCACGGCGCGCCGGGCGCACGCGCGCTTGATGTAGTAATCTGGATCGGTGTTCCGGGGTGGGCAACGACGAACGAGAAGGGCAAAGGCGAAAAGGATTATTAGCCGCGCGCGCGGCGCGTTCCGCGTGAACCGGGCCGGCGGGATCTCGCTCCCACCCGCGCTCGCGACGCGGCACGGGGATGGCCGGGCGGAGAGCCAATCGGAGGCGCCGGCGCGAGCGAACGTGACACGAGTAAAGAAAGGATAGGATCGGAGGTAGCCTGCGGGTCAGCCGGTGCCCGGGATGTGAAAATCGTCGTGGCCTGCTTTTGGTTCGCCTCTTGCCTCCTCGGAGGAGAAAGGAAAGCGTGTGCACCCTAATGCCGGGGGGTGGGGGGTGTTAGTTGCCAGGCGAGCTTTGTGTGAGCCCCGGGGGCGCACGCGGCAGCTGGTGATGAGTTGGGCCGGGGGATCGTACGTTTTGCATGCAACTTGGGGCTGGCCAACGGACAGGGCTAGTGGATGAACCGAGTCACAACTCACACGGGGTTCACTGTACGTGTATAGCTGTCACGGATCGGACAGGCGACTCCAGTACTGGTCGTTTCATATTACTATTACCATCAGAACGTGGTACTAGTCTGGTAGATCATGCACGGGTCAACTTGAGTCTCGGCTCTGGCCACATGCCGTTTCCCACCTATATATGTACTGTGTATTTCAAGTTGCAACAGATAGGCCGAACAAATATAATAAATCTGTTTGTTACTAGAAAAGAAGAGTGGTGTATCTATCACCGTAACTGCAGTTCAGATCGAGAAGGAACACATGACACGGCGAGCTTCTTGTGATCCAAATAAAGCCATAAAATAGGTGCCGTGCTCCGTGTGAATGTGAACGACCCAGGCCAGCCACCCAGCTGGTCTCCTCCTTCCTCGCCGAACGTAGTACCGTCACGAGGTATGAAACCAACCAGCAGCAAGTGTGCGCATCGTGCATGCTTTGCATATATCTGCACCTCTCCTCCCCAGATAAGAAACGCGGGACACATATATATTATGGCATTAAATCTCGCTGGATGGCCGGTCTGATGCACGCTCGTGAAGGCGAGGTCGTCGTCGTAAAGCGGGGACGGCGACGCTCATGCCGTGTGTGCGCCCCCGCCGTTTCTCCGAGAGCACGTACGCGTGCAGCTGCTGCAGATCGGCTCACACTCGGCGCGTCCGGTGCTGCTGGTTGGTGTGAGCGGATCGGAGCGGGGTGTGTGTGTGTGAACTCGTGACCCGCGTAGCTGCTGCTGTGCTGCACCAGTAGCAGTGCAGTAGAGCGGAGCCCCATGGTTCCCGTGGACGTACACTGGACACCCGCGGACGGGCAAACGCGCGTTCCGACCTCCTCCTGGCACCTAGTACTATTATATTATTTCCGCGACAATGAAACGCACTTTACTTTTATATATCCAATGTGCATCGTGTGTATTTCTATATGCAAGACAGCGACATTATTCTGGCATGTA